TGTGCTGTACCACTCTGTCACTGTGCTGTACCACAGTCTCACTGCCCTATGAGACACCGTCAGTGTGCTGTACCACTCTGTCACTATGCTATATCTCGTCACAATTCTGCTTCACTACACTGAATTGAATCCTGCATTGTTACCATGTTTCACTGGATTAATATGAATGTGGAACAAGCAGATAAGAGACTGACTGGGGAAGATGTTGATGTCAATGACGGTGAGCCTCTCCGTCTCGTTGTTCACTATCACGTCTACTCCAAACAGGGACATGCCCAGCTCCGCCCTCAGCTCTGTCACCATTGCGCTGATGACCTCATCGCTGGGGGGGCGAGGCAGGGCAGTCCCTTCATCCAGCTGTGGGAGAGAAAGACAGAGAGTTATACAATGAAAATTAGCAACTTGTTCTGTGAGACTGTGAGACTAGATGGCAGGGATTCAACAGTTTCAACATTTCTGATGTTCCCATCTACTGCAGGAGCTCAGCTTTCTGCCTCAAACGGTATCCGGGCTGGCCTTAATCACACAGCTTCTGCTTAGACCTTGGGGTACCCATCACTATTCAGGCCTCCTCATTCCAAAAACAGGACAAGGATTAAGAAGAGGGAGTAAGATGAGTCTGGTGCACATTAATGCCTTCAGTGTATCAGTCAGTTTATTGGTGTGTTACTATATCTTTGTGCGCTGTGTCAGTGTCTCAGTGTGTAAGTGTGTCAGTGTATTAAACGTGTAAGAATGACAGGGTGTTACACTATATCAGTGTGTCCGTTAGTCGGTGTCGGTGCATCAATACAAGCAGTGCCTGACCAGACTCACCGCAGTGAGGTGAGAGCTGGACTCTGGCTTGGACACCTCATGGCTGTTGAAGAAGATAGTCTTCCTGTCTGGAGACAAAGAACGCAGCACCATCACATGGACTCTAGCCCTGAGCCCATCTCAAAGCCCTCAAATAAGCTTGACCTGAAATGCAATTCTGACCTGCACTGTAACCTCTACCCCTAACCCTGAGTCTCACCCTAACATTGACTGTGACCCACTCCTGTGGTCTGCTCCTCTCTGCTGGTTGTGTGGGGTGTTTGGAGCAGTCGGTGGACAGCACAGCGTCTGAGCTTGTGCTTCCTCGTCCTGTCCCCCTGAGACTGACCGCAAGGCCCCATGGGGAAGTTCTTGAGGGATGGCCTCTCCACGGTGAAGTGCGACTGTCCCACCACAAACACCTTGTGCAGCACGGCGCCGTGGTTGACGAAGCTCTGCAGCACGCAGGGCGGGCGGGCGTCACACAGGCCGTCCTCCCCGAAGATCAGGGCCATCTGTGGGGCGAGACACCTGCACTGTGAACGTCTCCAGTGAGAGGCCGAGTGGATGGCAGTAAACCAAGCCAAGCAGGGTGCTCCTCCACCGCTGCTGGAGTGAAGGTGCAGCACAGAAAACATCAAAGACCAGACAGAAGGAGGTCAGGGCAAAAGAACCAACACCTTTATTGATTTAAAATGCAGCAGAAGATCTGAGGTTCTGACCGGAAATCCGATTGTCCTCTGTGAACGGTGAAATATCGCGTCTCTGGCTGTGCTTGACACAATGAAGGTTTCACAGTCTCCCCTCCCGGGTGAGTGTCGTGTTGTCTTTCACCCGTCA